TATATATATACACACACACACACACACACACACACTTATACAAACTTTATTTAATTTTTATTCGTTTTATTTTTATTTATTTTTATTTATTTTTTTATTTTTTTTGCATGGCTTGTAGATAAAGAAATAAGTAAAATGTATCACCATCAAAATAAGTTTTAAATTATTGAATTTGATAAATTTTGAGTGATTATTTTTTATAATATATTGCCGTTAACCCAAAATAATTTATAAATTTTAACGGTGATATTCTCATTCAATTTTATTTTATCAGATATATAAATGAAAAATAAAAATTGAAGGCCAAGCTGATAATTTTTAAAAAATTAACTCAAAATATTATAGACTACTTTCAATTCATTGAAAAGCAGTATGCAGTGCGGGTGCTCCGACTCCCTACACAAAGTTATAGGTTTGAGATAGTGCCTATAACTTACATAAATACCATCTCCAATTCATATTTATTTACATACTTAGCACCAAAACTTTTTTTATTTACATTTCCAGCACAATTTTTTATATCACATAAGAAATAATATTACAAAAAGTTAAATACACATTTTTACGCATAGATAAGGTGGTGCATGTAAAAATTAATGCTCGTGATATATATATATATATGCAAATACATAAAAATTGAGTGATATGTATGTAAGAATTTCAATTTCAAACAAACTCTTAAGTCATATAAAACGTGATTATACTGTGTTTTTTTAAAAATCCTATTTAATATTTATTTAGATAAACATGGTCAATAACCCCACACCGCCCAGACATTAAATGATCAGATAGTCACAAAAATGATTCACAACTGAGAAACCTCTCAAGCCAAATAAATTATATAAATTCCACGCTAACTTGTAAGCCATTGAAGAAGAACTCCATCATTTTAGATTAAAATAATGAACACGTACATTACCAAACACTTCAAGTTTTTTGATAGGACTCGTGACTCATCTTCACCTCCCCCTTCCCCTTCAAATTCCTTCCCCTATATATACACACTAAACCAGCTCCCTCTTCAACAAAAACATGGCCGCTACAAGAAGTAGGCACCTCTCTTTTTCCCCAACCAAAGCCGCTGCTTGCGAGACGGCGACGTGCTATGTTGCGCTGTGCCTCGTGGCTCTCGTCCTCGTTAACGTGCTACGCGAGAGCACGGTAGCGGTTGCCGGAGCGGGAACGGAGATGCTGCGGGGGCGGAAACTCGGCGGCCGGCGGCAGCCGTGCGAGGAGATATATGTGGTAGGCGAAGGAGAAACGCTGCACACTATAAGCGATAAGTGTGGGGATCCCTATATCGTTGAGCAGAATCCTCATATACATGATCCAGATGATGTTTATCCAGGTCTGGTTATCAAGATTACACCTTCCAGATTCAAGTAAATAAAGGTTAAAAGCTGTAATTAGACGAGCAAGAACAAATTTCTGGAGAAATCTTCATCATCATCTTTTTGCCTCTGATGATTGAATAAAGGCAGCTGTGATTTTTTTTTTTTTTTTCTTCTTTTTTTATGTATGGGTTTAGGAAGTGTATTGGTTGTAAAGATGTCTTTAATTGAGAAAAATGTTATTGATAAATATATATTTTAAAGGGATTTGATGATTAGTGAGGATTTAGGATGTGGATAAGAGATTAAGAATATTAGAATTTCTGAACGTTAATGGTGTGAGACTTTCATAAAATATAACTGGCTTTAATTAGTCTCTCAATTAGGCCAAAATTTTCAGTCAGGAGTCTAGACGTGTTGACAACGATCACGATGCAGCAGAAGATCAGACTTCTGCTGTATCGCTGCATCACCTCTGATTTTTTTCGTTTTTTTTATTTTTTTTGAAAATTCAAAGAGTTGGGTTTTGAGGGAAAAGAATTGTACATGGTCATAGGCATCATTAAGACAACTGTTAGTTTATTCTATCGTTTGGGCACTTACTACCATACAAGTATTTACATATCTAATACTTAAAACTTTCATACAAATCAAAAATAGCACTATTATTAACATTTGAAAAGTAATTTTTTTTTTTATGCATAAATTTACGACACCAATATGCTATAGATAAAAAAAAATCAAAGTTTAGATAGTTTGATACTAGATATCTGAATACGCAAGAATTACGTGGCATGTACGTAAATTTCCCTTATTTTTAGTAATGAGAATATTTCGATATAACTTTGAACTTTGTTTCTTTTGAAGAGATAAAAAGATAAGATAAAAAGCATATAGCGGATTCGGATGGGACTGTTTTTATATTGAAGCAAATTTATGAAAAAGCAATTCATGCTTTGAAATAATTTTATTTCTCCAGTCTTGTTCTAAAATGAAGAGAAGGTTAATCTCTTTGAAGAGCCGCCACTTGGTTCTTGGTTAGCACATCTGTAAAGGATTTTATTTATTCATTTAATTATTTTTTTTATTTTTTTGGCGAAGCATTATGAGGAATATAAATGAATCGGGTGTTCAACAAATATTATAGCTTCAAGTGATATGTTCAGCATATTCATTTGATTAAACTGAACAATTTTGAGCATTTTTAAAATATTCAATATATTTTTTATAATGCATAAAATATCTTCTGATCACAACTCAATCAATACCCCTGTAAAACATAATTAAAACTTGATATGATATTTACTATAAATCTTAATTGAGGTAAAATATAAAGCTCAAATAAAACTCTTTGAATATCTTGAATTTCATCAACTTCTTTATAATATTTTAAAAAATAAAATTTAATTGTTTGAGTTTGTAACATACAAAATCTTTTAGATGGCAACATAAGGAAACGTATATGAATTCTTTGATATTTTCACATCACATATTTTAATTAAATAATAACTTTTTGGAAGAAAAATTATGATGGGTGCAAAATCTATAGTGAAGTTAGTAGAAAATATTCTCTTGAATTAGGAGATCGAACTTCAAAACACGATATAAATATTAATTTCTAAATTAATTATCATTAAATTGTCAAATTATGTCATTGAGAGAGAAAAAATTAATAAAAGATATTAGGAAAATACATCCTCAATGAATTTAATATTTTGGAAACATCTAGATTGATGGAGGCAAGGAGGCTATATCCAGAGCTCCCCAAGAAGAGTTGGACAGCTGGATGAATACCGAAGACACGTGGTTGAGTACGTGTGGAGATGAGAATGGCGGGCTTGGCAACATCTCAGTGGAGGTAAGGAGGTTCTGATACAAGATAATAACAACACAAGGGACTTCTCATGAATTTGAATTTTAGTTCATGCACAGCCGTATGAGTTTGTTAGATATTTAATATTTTTATACAATATTTAAAGGCCATAATTGGTTAAAAAAATTGAAATTGTAATGGTAAAGGTTATCATGAGAATTATCTGTATTGATGGAAAAACACTTAATATTAGTTTAATGAAGGGAACATTTTCTTCATACTTCACATTACTAGGTAGTTAATATCACTTTTTCTTTTTTGGTCAAATGGGTAGATTTATTAGAGATAGGAAGCCATTGGCACTCAATTTGCATGTTGTAAATAAGGCTGTCAAAACCGCTATTTGTTTGCGAACATCTCGTTAAGAAGCTCGTCTTCGGCTCATACGCTAAGTTAGTGAGCCGAACACGAACAAAAATTTCTTTAGGGTTGAAGGTTTCATGCTAAACTCGACTCATCAATTATCCATATATATATATCGATAATTGAAGAGTAATATTTTTAAATATTTTAATTAACTACAAGGCTATAAAGAATTATCAATTAAAAGCATTAAATAAAAAAATAGAATAAAAAATATTAAATTAGATTTAGATAACATTTTAATAATAATAATAATTTTTAAATCTTACACCAACCCTTAATATCTCATGTTAGGATTGCCAAAACGACTATTTATTCGTGAACAACTCGTGTTCAACTCGCTAAGCGAACAAGCCAAACATATTTTAGAGCTCTCGTGCTCGGCTCGTTTACAACCCTAGCTGCAAAAGATGAAAAATGAATAATATAGCTTCTTAATCATAATTTAAATTTATTATTTAATCAGTAAATTTATTTTATGATGATGAATTATCTATATTGCACTAATTTTAATCTGACGAAAAAAAAAATAAATATCATACTAAAATACTAATCTGAATATTTTAAACTATTATTTTCACAAATAATTCAATATGGATAACCCAATGTTTTTTTTTTTGCGCTATAACAGAATTAAAAGCACCCACACACATACCTACCATCCAATCATTGCTTATTTACAAAACTAACAGCAAAATTTTAGTTTTTAGATTATATCACCGAATTCCTTCACATCAAGATGATTTGAAATTTAAATGTTCCATGTGTAAATGCAAGGGAATAGAGATGTGTAAATTTGTATAATTACATTATGCCACAATTTTCATATTATATAAAATAATAAAAAGTACCACCATTTGAACATTAAAAAAATTATATATATATA